AGGTTAAATTCTTTGAAATTCTAATTAGCTGACTGGTAAGTTCTGCACATGGTTAATTGACTGACAGGTAGATTCCTGAGTTAGTTCAATTTCAGTTGCCCTCAAAAAACTATTACACTTTGCTATTATAAACCAATCCAATAGAAAGATTGACGATTGTCTCTTTTTTCTGAAACAATCATCTACAATTATCGAATTCAGTGACTCTGAAAACTTAATAGAGGACATATTACAAGCCATATCAAACAGAAAATTGACGATTATTCTAAAATTTGATCATTATTGAAAAATTCTGGCCGCCATTTTGAATTTCCGCCATCTTAGATTTTGGAAACTCTTTTTTTTAGATTGATTTTAATTTCAATGACTTTGAAAACTCTTTATATTACATATTACAAACCATATCAAAGAGTGAAATGACTTTTATCTGACAAATCGGCCATTTTAGATAAATGTTGGTTGCCATTTTGAATTTCCGCCATCTTGGATTTTGGAAATTATTTTTTTATTTAGATTAAATTCAGTGACAATGTAAACCCTTTAAATTATATATTACAAACCAAATCAAGCAGTGAAATGACTTTAATCTGATCAATCCGCCATTTTGGGTATATTTTGGCCGCCATTTTGAATTTCCGCCATCTTGGATTTGGGGAAACTAGTTTTGGAAATTATTTTTCAGTTCAATTACAACAAAAACCATATATTTGATATATTACAAGGCATACATTGCGTGATAATCACCCAACCTATCTGGAAATTCATTTTTCTTCAAATTTTGGCGGCCATTTTTTAAATCAGGCAAACCCCAAACGACAATGACGTCATATATAAATCTTTTTTCAAATATCGTGTTCAGCTAACAATTTTGCATCTGGAAATTGCTGGCCTGAAATGATTTGTAAAAAAATGTCTTATTGTGATACCCCTTGTTATATGTATATCAATAAATAGGCGGCCGTTTTGGAAAAGATGGCCGTAACGACCACCAGGGGGAGCTGCTGAGTTGGATCCACATCCCAAAATAATCAGTAGGGTTGATGCCATCTATATGCCAAGTTTCATGCTTTTAACCCAAAATGCATGATTCTACCAAAAATTCTTCCTTAACCGCCCCACTATATAGGTGTGTAATATATTGAAATATGTTCCGATTAAACGATATTCCAATATAATCCTTATATTCAAAATGGCGGCCACATTTGGCGGAAATTTCGATGTTAGTAATGGGATGGTGAAATCATACGCGTATGTGCTCGATGAATGTTTGGGGGTCCAGAGCAGAACCTGCAATACCCGAAAATATTTCGGGTTACACGGTGGCTCTATTCGTCTGCGAGAGGCAAAGGAGCGGAGCTTACCGTGGAGCCCCCTCTCCCGGCAAATGCGTTTTTTTTGCTATTCCAGCCCATGAATACAACAACTTAGGTGGATGACTCGAATACCAATCAATCGTTTACAGTCCACGGAGACAGGACCTTCGGGAGAAAAAGTTGAAAATTTAACTGCCGCAAACTCGTTTTCCTGCTATCCCAGCCCCTGAATACAGCATCTTTAATGTTGTCCAATATAGCCTACCTTAGGTGGCTGACCTGAATCCCCAACAACCAATCACATGGTCTCGGGGTACGGGGCTTCGTAATCCATGAGAACATTTTGATGATTTAACCGCCGCAAATGCCCTTTCTGCTATTCTGACCTGTGAGTTAAGAAACTTCAAAGTTGTCCAATCGTTTTGCAACCGAAATCACATTCTATGGCGACCCGTTTTCCAATCATCCAATCACCATTTTGTATCTGCATTGACAAATAATAATCGATGCCGTCAAAATGTCGCAAATAGCCGAGTGGCTCCAAACAAAATGTATTCAATTAAAAGAAAAGTAAAATTTGTGTTTTATTAGATTTCGGGCACTTTATTTTGCCAACTAGATGAAATAATAATTTTTGTTTTCACTTTACCCGTCTGTGGAAGAAATAATAATTTTTGTTTTCACTTTACCCGTCTGTCTAGTATAGTAAAAAAAAACTGTTGTATCAAACGACGAAGAGCAAGACAGAATACCAGTTAACAAGAACAACTACGTTTGGGACACTCTATTTTGGCGGCCATTTTTTAAATCAGGCAAACCCCAAACGACAATGACGTCATATATAAATCTTTTTTCAAATATCGTGTTCAGCTAACAATTTTGCATCTGGAAATTGCTGGCCTGAAATGATTTGTAAAAAAATGTCTTATTGTGATACCCCTTGTTATATGTATATCAATAAATAGGCGGCCGTTTTGGAAAAGATGGCCGTAACGACCACCAGGGGGAGCTGCTGAGTTGGATCCACATCCCAAAATAATCAGTAGGGTTGATGCCATCTATATGCCAAGTTTCATGCTTTTAACCCAAAATGCATGATTCTACCAAAAATTCTTCCTTAACCGCCCCACTATATAGGTGTGTAATATATTGAAATATGTTCCGATTAAACGATATTCCAATATAATCCTTATATTCAAAATGGCGGCCACATTTGGCGGAAATTTCGATGTTAGTAATGGGATGGTGAAATCATACGCGTATGTGCTCGATGAATGTTTGGGGGTCCAGAGCAGAACCTGCAATACCCGAAAATATTTCGGGTTACACGGTGGCTCTATTCGTCTGCGAGAGGCAAAGGAGCGGAGCTTACCGTGGAGCCCCCTCTCCCGGCAAATGCGTTTTTTTTGCTATTCCAGCCCATGAATACAACAACTTAGGTGGATGACTCGAATACCAATCAATCGTTTACAGTCCACGGAGACAGGACCTTCGGGAGAAAAAGTTGAAAATTTAACTGCCGCAAACTCGTTTTCCTGCTATCCCAGCCCCTGAATACAGCATCTTTAATGTTGTCCAATATAGCCTACCTTAGGTGGCTGACCTGAATCCCCAACAACCAATCACATGGTCTCGGGGTACGGGGCTTCGTAATCCATGAGAACATTTTGATGATTTAACCGCCGCAAATGCCCTTTCTGCTATTCTGACCTGTGAGTTAAGAAACTTCAAAGTTGTCCAATCGTTTTGCAACCGAAATCACATTCTATGGCGACCCGTTTTCCAATCATCCAATCACCATTTTGTATCTGCATTGACAAATAATAATCGATGCCGTCAAAATGTCGCAAATAGCCGAGTGGCTCCAAACAAAATGTATTCAATTAAAAGAAAAGTAAAATTTGTGTTTTATTAGATTTCGGGCACTTTATTTTGCCAACTAGATGAAATAATAATTTTTGTTTTCACTTTACCCGTCTGTGGAAGAAATAATAATTTTTGTTTTCACTTTACCCGTCTGTCTAGTATAGTAAAAAAAACTGTTGTATCAAACGACGAAGAGCAAGACAGAATACCAGTTAACAAGAACAACTACGTTTGGGACACTCTACTCCAGATCCAGAGCTCACAGTTTTTGTCCTATTTAGCCGAAACTTAAAATATAATATGTTACACCAGTGTTACACTGGTGTCGTCCTCTCTGAATACTTTAAAGCAGCCAAGTCTTTAACACAATATCATCCACGGTCTTCGACATTGCAAACACGACTTCCTGGTCAATTTAAAACAACATTGATGTTGTTATCATACCGTGAAATGTTGGACTTCTAATGTCCAATATTTGAGACAAAATGATTTTTTTTAAATTGGCACACGAATCGTGTGTCAGAATGCTTTCGAGTGGCAGATATATGAAACGACTCGATGAACGAGGCTAAACATATCCAATGTAGGGGAATACTACTGGTGTAGACTGGAATAACCAGACGCCAAAGACTGTCATTCGATTCAGACTCATCGCGTATTTCGCCGAACATAACTGATTAGAAATTACAGTAAAAACAGAAACGATTGAATGTAAATCAGTTTATATTCATTCATATTACATTATTATATGCGTAGCGACCCATTGCGATTTAGCTCCTTTAATAGCATGACGTTTTGTTTCCCCCTTTTATTTCCCTTGCTGTTTAAATGACAATCGAAAATGATTTTAAAAGATTTAAAAACATATGAAAATGAGATGCTTAATTCATTTCTGTTACTAATGCATGCAGGTCTAGACTGCAACCCATATATATGAAGTCCGGATACGAATTAATTTCCGCCAATGCTGAGGACAATGTGTGAATAACAATTACTGCTGGATATCGCTACTGGCAAAAAAAAAGTCAAATATATTCCGTAAATGGATGAAAAATGATTCTGTAAAACTGAAATGTTTCAAGTTGTCGAAACATTTTAACGTCGCATCCTTCTTGTTCAAAACCTCCTGTGAAATCTAGTGACCCCAGAAAGGAACCAAATTCAACCGAACAATTAATCATATGTACTCTTTATAAGAAGTAGACATGAATAAGATGTCATATGGTGAGACATTAAGAGGTCAAACAGTTAAGTAAATTAGAAAGGTTATGTTATTTAGTAAGGCAACGACGCCGAGTTTAAAACACTCGAGTGTTACCCATACGTATTTATAAAAAGTATGTACACTATTTATTTATAGATAAACCCCCTGCCAGACCATATTGATCTCCAACAACCACCTTCATTAAAAACAGAAAAGAGTTAAATATACAAATGCCATATAATAATGATATACACCACGCGAAGACATCTGGTGCTACAAAGAAATACAAAGTATTTAAAATTTAAAGAAAAAGCCCCTCTCTCTCATTTTCAAGATGCCAAGTTTTTACGATATTTACGATATGCCTTTGATACATCGACTGCCTTGGCCGATTTCATTTAAACGGACATAATGCCATGACGTACAATGTGAATCATACAGCCAATTTCTTAATATGCACGATCCCTTTTTTGACCCCATATAATCACAAATAATAGGTGAAATATACAAATCCAAATTTGATAATATTGACAGTACGTCATGACTCATGGGTCAAGATGAGATGTCGCAGATTCAATTGGCGGAAATAATATTGCATATAAATATTCATGCCCATCAACAAAGATTCACATATCAGAGGAAACCAACCGCACACGACATCTTATACATTAAATCCGACAAAATGAAGTTTCAGTGTCTTACAATTATAGCAGTCTTTATTTCAGTGACAACTGCTAAAGAAATCGTTAGAAGGAATGAAGATGACTTTATTGATGTAAGTCTTTCATCATGTAGATAATGATAATAATAATAAGGGTAACAGAAAATATTGCTATTGGTATTTCAATACATGTTAACACTATTTTCAACAAATAATTAAATCAAAGTAAGGTTTTCTTTCCTTTTTAACAAATAATTACACAGGCTTGGTTTATTGCTATTTTTGAGGAGTTTATGATAAATATTTGAATTCAAACTTAAGTTAAATTCGCTTTTTTTTTCAGAATTTTTTGGAAAGATATGGTTATATAGACAATACGCCTGCTGAGATCAGTCATGATATGCCGACATACCCCGATAAAACAGTCACCAAAAACTTGGCTATAATGTAAGCTTTGTTCCCATCTTACCCTTTCTTCATCAAAATTACATATTGAAGTTTTGCATCCTGATTTGGGCCATATGTAAAATTTTGCTCCTATTTTACTTTGTCTACTTCCAAATTACATATTATGACACTAGTAAAATGATTCATTTGTATTTCATTGAATTGTACATCCTGATTTGGTGTTTGAGATGCCAATTTTAAATCAGAAGCGGAAACAAAGGTTAAACCAGGAACATTATTTGGAAATAATATTTAAAATTTTAACAATGACGGATTTTGTTACACGTTACATTGAAACTGTTCGTTCGATTTTTTTTTCCGTTTTTGGTGTATTTTTTTTGGAGTCCATTCTCGTACTGAAAATTCAACTATCGAGAATTCTGTTTCTGTAGTGAAGAATCCCCCCCCCTCTCTCTCTCTCGCTCTCTCTCCTCCCCTCCCCCACACCTACAGGGACTACATCTGACAAATATGTAGCAGGTACCAGGGTATAAATGTTGACAGTCACATATATATTTTATTTTACAGTGAATTCCAAAGGTTTTATGGATTGCCATTAACTGGAAGAGTGGATGAGAAGACTAAAGAAATGATGCGAAAGCCTCGATGTGGGGTAACAGATATACCTAGAAACAGGATTGGCCGTCGTTTCAAACGACAACGAAGACCCCAGGGATATACTCACCTTCAAGATAAATGGCCGAATTCTCACGTTACCTGGAAAACACTTAAATATTCCAGACAGCTTCCTAAACAGAAACAAAGGTAGGACAGCTTTTTTTTCCCGCCAGATGATGCATGGTATTCCCGAAGAGGGAGTCTCGAATATGAAAGTCACTTAAAGATGCATTATGGTAGAGCTAAATCTGCCTGTTGTCGGTCTTTTTTACTGGCTTCAAATGTTACATAAACTATTATTTAAACATTTATTAACATGACAAACCTATAATCAACTTCGATTTTAATAAGAGTTTAACGATACAATTAGTACAATAAACTTTTTTGGTATGTTTGCTTGCTTTTATTTTTGTTTTGTAATCAGAAACTAGTTGTTAATACAAGAAAAATGTTTCAAAAACCATCAAAATAAGCTGTATACCATTATTTTATGTATAGGGATGCCTTTGTCAGAGCCTTTAAACTATGGGAGGATGTTGCTGCTTTAAATATACGGGAAACTGCAGCCGAGGCTGACATGGTATTATCTTTTGAGAGACGAACTCACGGTGATAGTAACCCTTTTGATGGGAGAGGTTGGTATATGAGCTTTATTGTCTCAAAATTATTATAATTTTTGCTCTGACGTTAAATAAAGTCAAGAAAAATGTTATGTCCTTGCGGACGCAATGTGTCTATGTTGTGACAATTTGATGATGTTTGAATGTGATTAAAATCTGACAGTAATTTTTATTATTTCGAGTATCCATAGTCATTTAACTGAGCAATTCGCTTCACAATGGATTACACCAATCCCAAGATAGGTGATCACTCTGGAAAACATCACTAGCGAATACTGGACTATGATCAAATCACAAGCCCTTCTGAAGCACTGACTAATATTATCGTCATCGCTGTAAAAAGTAGGGATTGGGGATCTCTTGATGATTCCAGATGTAAAAATATAAACAATGTGAACTCCTCAATTAAACGAGAAGTGCTATCCGATGTTCTAGAAAGTTATAATCAAATCCCGTGGCTATCTAAATGAATGGAACGAAAATGCCATCTAAATTGTAATTGGATTGTATGTGAGTAGTCCTAATCGCAACACATAAAATCGAACTTTTATATCACCCATGGCGTAATGATCTAAGCAATTCCTTTCCAAAGAACTCATATATAATAAACATAAATAAACATACTTAAAACATAGATGTATGTTTGATATTTTCAGGCAATACTTTAGCGCACGCTTTCGGTCCAGGAACTTCCCCTTTATCTGGTGATATTCACTTTGATGAGGATGAAGACTGGTATCTTGATCCTAATGTAGATCGTGGATCCGACCTGTATGTAGCTGCAGCCCATGAGTTTGGTCATTCGTTAGGTCTGGGTCATTCCAACAAACAAAATGCTTTGATGTTCCCGGTTTACAGAAAAAGTAAGGATTTGAAACTGGATATCGATGATATTATAGGAATACAAGCTCTATATGGTAAGACCTTTGTTCAAATTACATATATCTGAAACCGTATGTTAGGGGCCTATATATGTTTAAATATGTTATATTAAAATAGTTAGAAAGAAATATGAATGACAGTATGAAATGCATTTTTGGGTGATAATTAAATATCTTAAAAGGTGCTTTTAAGTAACCATAAGTATGTTAATTTTAACAGGATCTAGACTGGGATCTGGCGGAACCCGTGGTGGTACCAGGCCTAGACTGGGATCTGGCGGAACCCGTGGTGGGACCAGAACCAATGGTGGAGTATATCCCCCAAGAACAAGATTAGCACCATCGACAACGACAACACCCGCTCCAAAAACATGTAATGTTGATATTGACCAAATCGTTGAGGGTGAGTTGGTATAAATTAGTTTAATTCATGAATTTCAGTTGGTAAGATATGAGCTAGTATTATTATCAGCACTGTCTATTTTATTATAAGAAATTCAAAGTATTTTCAAAAAAAAAAAAAAAAGAAAAAAAAAAGAAACTGGAATTAAGGCCTTAATTGAAAAATTGAAAAATGTTTTAGAGTGTCTGACACGTAAACGGTAATATATCGAATAATTTGGCGTGAACTTGCCGTAAAATGTATATAGGAACCACTGGCTTTAAATACAGGTACTTTGATATGGTCACTGTATGTGCTCTTGAACAATGGCGCTGAATACAATAACAAATATCATGGTATAAAAATATGTTAATTGTGTAAACGTACTTTTACTTCAGGTGAAGACAATTCCTATTATATATTTGAGAATGATGTTGTCCATGAAATTAAAGAGGGCGATTCTAAAACACAGGCACCGCAACCCATTTCATCAGTTTTTGATATGGCCCCTAGTCAACCAGACCTGGTTTTTACCAAATCAGACAGAGGAAAGATATATATCATTAAAGGTACGTTAAACAAGTCCTTTCCTGCAGCCTTCAGGCGGTTAGGTTGGGCTAATTGTCTAAGGCGAGCTCTTTAGATCACAAAGTCTGTCATTGAGTCAAGTTTCGTAGTTTCAATTCCCAGCTTGTACGTGCCAAGGACAAGGGGAAGGATCGCGTATTCAAACTCATGGGTTTTCTCTGAGTCCCCCGGTCTGTCACCACTGCTAAAGACCTCTACTCACAATAAAATTGTTTGTCCCAAAATGACCTAGTATGCGAAAACCCCCATTAATCTCTTTTCTCCAGCGAGCGTCGTCAAGTTGCTGTCCTTTGCTCACAAGTAGATGGTCAGCGACTAGTCAAGTACGGCGCTAGAGTACAAATCCGTTAATTATCAGGACTACTATTTTAATATTAAGAATCATATAAAAAAATTAAATACAGCCAGATTTGCTTGTGTTCGACATCTGCAAATAACCCATGTGCGCCCAAGATGAAATAAAAGGAAGTTCAAGGTTTCGTGCGCTTGTTTGCGATATCACTTCGGTGGAAGCGTCCGTTAAATGAAGCTATTTCACGCTCAGTTTCGTGTATTTTGACTCAGTTTGATCTATTCATTTATCAACCTTTTCAGATAATCAAGTATGGCGTTACACATCCAAAAAACTAGACACTGGTTATCCTAGGGATATTAGTAGAAATCATTTTCCTGAAAAACCAAGATTTGTTTTGTCGTTAGGAGATGATAATGGTGAGAAGACGATGGTGTTTGGGGTAAGTTCTTATTTAGAAATAAAATAATTTTAGATTCACCTATTGCGAGTGAGCTATATATTTTACCGAGCAATCGTTAGGCCCCTTATAAAGGCCATGACATGAAATGGGGTTTAACGTCCTACTGTTCTGCTTTAGCAATAAACGGTAAAATCATCTTATTTGAGAAGTGGTATCGTGTGGATATGCTGCTGTTAGAGGAAAATGTCTTGTTTTGATTGGTTGAATTTAACCCGGAGATTCCGTTAGACAATTACTTGATCTACTTATGAGTCATAACACTTAACAGGGACGGTGAAGCATGTCATCCTGTTTTCCTTAAATGTATTACACAGTAACCATAAACATCCTTGATTTAGGTCAAGGGTTGATCTGATGTTTCTTCATCTTCTTGATTGGCTTAAAGTCCGCATCCACCCAGTCTGATTAAAACATAGATCCTATTTCATTTCGTTTTTTACTTTACTACACTAGGACATGGAAGAGTTGTTATATAATCCGCGTTCTGGTTGATGTGTGGGATTAGCCAATGAAGCGGTCTGTTGCGGCGAGTTCTTGGCATGCTGTGCACAGAACTGTGGGTATCATAGTAGAAACACCTACGCTGGTTAGCTAGTCGAAAGTCGTCCCTGAGCGAACTCCCACAACAACTGGCCAGATTTTCATGCAGCGGAGGCCATCGAAAGTATAAAAATCGAAACGAAATGAGGTCTTTATTTTAATCAGATTGGCGCCCACCTAGGGTTGCATCGCAAACGAAAAAATTGCGACACACCTGGCTAAATATATATGAAAAATATTTGAATTTTGCTAAATAAAAACATGGTAGTTAGACAGCATACAACCGTAGACAGACTAGTCATACTCATAGACACATGGAATGACTCAAACTAAATAAAGAAATCACAGCTATGAACTTATCAGTAGACACCAGTGCATATTCAATTGGGATCACTGGTTTTTCGCATTTTCTTAGTGTGTCGTTCAAAATTTTGCGACACACTTAGGAAGATCTCGCGACGGCACACTGGTTGAGAATCACTGCTCTATACAATTAAATTGTATTTTGAATGTGTTTTGCTCTTTTGAGTTTATTTTCTGGCTGGGTTTTGTCTTGTGGAACAGAAAATCGGCTAGGCCTCAACAACTGGCTTTTACCTATAGTCGTAAAATTTTCAGCGATTAAAATGGACAATCTTAATTTTGACACAAATAAAAGAGGTCATTCACTCATTCATTCAAATTTTTCTTTCAGGCAACAAAGTGTTGGTGGTATGACTTTGACGAGCAAAACTTTTTTCAACAACCCGTATATAAGATAGAAAATCATTTTCGAGGAATACCAGAAAATGTTAAATATGCCGTAAGAGGAAAAACCAACCATTTTTACCTGGTATCTGACGATAGGTGGGTACCCATTATTATATTTAACGTGTATCTATAATTTTACATGTATATTCATCTGATGATTTTAAAAGGAAAAGAAATCGACTAGTTTGTTAGTTCTTGGTAATTTAATTTTAATTAAACATACATTATGCAAGAGCTAAATCTGTCTATTGCAGGTCATCTAAATTATTAATTATACATTAATTAACCTATCCAGACCATAATCAACTCTAGATGGCATCGCTAGCCTGCGATCTTAAGTGGATTGTGAGCCGATTTACTGCATAACTTTCCTTCTCCATTAAACGATTAAATGGATAATCGAGACTATGCTGTTTATCGTACTGACTTAAGTAATGATGACCGAGGCTAGGCAGAAATTTGATTCGCTTAGTTCTCGGTTCATAGTGGATCAAATTGAATGAAATTTTCAGCAAATTGCCTTTGCGTTATCTAGTTTTTAATTATTATAGTGAGAACTGCCAACTCGTTATCTAATCTCCCATAATGTATCTTTAACATGTATTATTTACACATTGTTAATTTTAAAGCATTGCCAAGAGATCAACAAATTTCTTTTTAGACATTTGAATGAAAGGGGAAGGAAAATAATCATTTGAAACGAAGCACATGAGATATCTATATCCCAGAAAAGATGTTATTACTTCATTTCACTGTTTTAGTCATTGTAAAAATTTAGAATGAAAAAAAAAATGTTAGGATGGTTCGTGATTCTTTGAAAACGAATTCAACATTTCAGAAATGTATTGCTCATATTATTTCTATTAATTATTTATTATCTTGTTCTTTGAAGGTATGTTGTATTTAGTCCTAATGGAAGACAAATAGTTGGGAAGGAACAGAATAATGGTTTACCAGATTGGATATTAAAAGCATGTAGTATTGTGCAGGGTAACTCAGCAAGGTATGTCAATCAATTATCTATTATTAATTAGCCATAATGTTTTTGTATGATTTATAAAGATCATAGAGCTTAATTGTAATTACCTATTATTAATTATCTATTAGAGCATGTCAAATCTTAATTGTGGTTATATGGCTAAATATGTATATATTAATATCTAAAACGGATTTCGTGACTAAGAGACTATGGTTTCGCACTGTCTTTACATCCTGAATGGTGGATGTGGATTCGGTCACATGATTCATGTTAAAACCAAGACGGGTGGTCATGGTAAACTGTGCAATTGAAGTGACGGTGAGGGATTGGGGTATTTTCATGGGACAGTTGCATTTCCGCTTTATTCTCGCCCAATGCACCATATTGCTTTGTTTAATATTGTAATAAAAAACTTAAAAACAATTCTTATGTTTTTATTTTCAGATCAAATAAATCAGGGATTGTTTACATTTTAACGACTGTGATAACATCTATATTTATTTCAACCAAATCGTGAATTTCATCCTAAATACTGTGTGGATTGTGTAAACTATAGTATCTTGTGGAACTCTTGTGGTAAAAAGAACCACAGACTAAAAACACTCTTATCAAAAGTATTGTCGAAAGCTTGTGGGATGTGGTACCACACAGGGAGATAAGGGGTGTCTGAGGAATATTTTTTTTCCAAGTCCAATATCTTTTGGAACTCTTGTGGTGAAAAACACCATAGATTTGTAAATGTCTTCCCTTTACTTTGTGAATTCAGGTAGTGAATGAACCAGTTGGTTTATGGCATTAAATCTGAAATGCCCATACATCTATGTTGATGTTAATGTGATATGTTTTACTTTCTCGCGCCATGATGTATTTTTACCAAACCAATGGTTATATGCCGTATTGTTAATTTTATCAAGATCTGATTTTAATAACTTTAAAAAGTAAATTGTTTCTATTTAAAGGAGTTAACTGACTAGATACTTTTAGGGTGTAGTCCTTCGTGTTAATTTCTTCAATCGTCAATATGTGAACAATTAATTTGCCTTCAGTATATTATAACTACAGTTACATATTGTTAGACATATTTTCTTCTGTTATATTTAAGGTACTTTTAAGACTCTCTCCACCCATTCAGAAAATACCCGAACCTAAAAATGTTCTTGATTAACAGTAAATTACCTTTTGGCATCCTTAGGACAAACAGGTCTTGTCTGTTGTTTAACCCTATTAAAACATATATATATATATTGTTGAAAGTGAACGGAAAACTACGGAACTGTGCAGTATTGTATATAGTAATGCAACAAAACGGTTCAAAAATGTGCCATGCGATATTATTAGTGCAGAGAAATATAGCTTATTCTAACGGCCAACTTTCGGTACTAATTCTTTTAAGAATTTAGGCTGCGAAACATCCAAAAGTATT